ACAGCCGAAGCCGCCCTTTTGGATTGGATCCTCATCAATAGTCGCCTCTGCACTTGGCGGTTTTAAGGCTAATCCAAAGTTAACAAGCGTCGAGAAGACAAACGCGCCTATGCTCCCACTGATTGTAGCCCGGATACAGTCAAAGACCTATTCTATCAGAACCCACATGACCTACTTCGAATGGCTCCCAAAACCGACATCATTGTTATGCAGGGGAAATTCAACGCGCGTGTTGGCCGTTTGCTGCCAAGCGAACGCCAGCTTGGAGGTCTGCATAGATACGATAACGTTCGCTCCAATAACGGAGAAAGGCTGCGCAGCCTGTGCACCGACCACCAAGTTAACTTATCTAACTTGAACTTACGCCACCCGAGACATCATTACGCTATTTGGTGTCCTTCATCATCACAACATTGGTCTTAGATTAACCACATCACCATAAGTCACCATTGAGTTGGCAGTGTTCGAGACTGCAGATCTTATTGGTCAAATTGCATCAAGCTGATCATGCGCTGGTACGTGCGATGGTATGCATGCACTTCTTCTGAAATTTGGTACATCAGAGGACCCCGATATTCAAGTGGAATATGAACGGATGGTCCGTGACAATCCCACTTGTCACCCTCCTTTGGACGTTGACCAACATTGCCTACGTTTGCAACAGGTAATGTGCTCTGCGGATCCGTCTACCTGCGGTCTTGTTCGTTCAAGAGCAAAAGGTTGGACCTCATCGACATCGTCGGAAGTACTTGGTTGTCGGTGGTCCAACCCCGTCAGGGGGGGGGCACTGAACTCCGACGAACCATTTCTCAACAATTAAAAGTAAATTTTAGTTGTAATATTTGTAAAGTATTCATCCCGATAGTTCACAAGCCATACAACACAGCCTAGCCCGGAAAAGCACCAGACGCGTTTTGCCCTATTGGGGCTCGTCAGTGGTGCGCATTCCATCGGTCTCCTAATGGAGATCGAACCCATGATCGGTAGCCTCTCCTAGTTTCAAAATGTTATGGATATAGCGTCTAGTGAGTAGGACGTCAGCAACTTGAAGGTTAGCCACTGTCAGTGACAGTGGAAGATAGGTGGTGCTATATCCCAGTCAGTTTGCAAAGTATGTGGCCAAGCTGACGTCCCCCGTGGCTCAGTGGCTTAAGCTGCTGGATAGTTGGCATCTACCTCTAGCGGTTATGGGTTCGATCCCCATTAGGGGACTGAGGGAATGCGTACCACTGATGAGTTCCAATAAGGTGAAATGCATCTGGTGCTTTTCCGGACTAGGCTATGTTATGTAGCTTGTGAACTATCGGAATGAATACCGCACAAAAAGTAAAGGTAAGTCTTCGTCGCGATCGTGAATCATGGTGGTCCGATCGAGCCATGGAATGGGAAGCTTTTGCCACATCTGAAAACAGCGGCAGATTATATTACCTCCTCAGATCCACTGAATGCAAATCACATGCCATCAGTGAGACAATCTGCGCGTCAGACGGTACGAGGATCACTCATCTCCGCAAATGTCTGGATCGCTGGACAGAGCACTTTGCTCTTCAATTTAACTATCCGACTCAACCACCGGTGACATCCTCTTTGCTGTCTTGCGATGCATGGCCCGTGTGCACAGATCCTCCCACGAGACTGAGATTCGGAGAGAAATCCACACTCTGAAACGATACAAAGCCCCAGGCCAAAGAGGGAGGAAATACGGCTATTAGAGAACTGTTCTCGCTTTTCACGAAAGTGTGGGTCGACAAGAAGATTCCTAACCCTTGGAGGGAATTCATCGTGGTCCCGAAGGCTCCTGTAGCAATTGCACCAATTACCGAGGAATCTCACCCATAGCGGTCGCGTCTAAACATTTTGTGTCAATACCGCTCCAGAGACTTTCAGCTACTCGAGAGTTTGTCTCGCGAATAACAAGCTGGTTTTCGCAGAAGTCGAAACCTTCACGCTGCGTCAAATGCTCGAACACAATCACCTCCACCGAAGACCAACAAGACTGGTGTTTTTGGACGTCCATAAATAGAACATCACTTCAGAAGTGCCTACTAAAGAGCAGCACACCAGATAAATTTGTCACAATTCTGAACGAACTCTATCGTCACACATCGGGCAAAGTTAAAGCCTACGGAAGGCTTTCTTCCTCTTTGCTGTTACTAGAGGTGTACGCCAAGGTTGTCCGATCCCACCATTCTTATTCAACTTTGCCATCGATGATGTTCTCCACCATGTTGAGCACCTCTCTGGGGACAGAGTTACGGACTTGGATTATGCTGGTGACATCGCTTTGTTGGAGGACGACCCACAGGTCATCCAAAACGTTTTGAACCGCTTGGCGATCACTACATCTCATTATGGTTTGTGCTTTACCCCATCCAATGGTAGAACCATGCTATAATATTGGTAAGTGCCGGTGCCAACACATAACTGCAGGTGATTGGCTGGAGCAGGTGAATCGCTTCATTTATCTCGGGAGTTGTATCACGGCGAGTGGCGGTATTGGGGAGGAAGTGTCTCAGCGAATCGCTAAATCCTGCCTGGCGTTCACTAATCTGAGGCACTTGTGGCGCCGCGGCGACCAGTCTAAGACTCGAAGGCAGTGTGTACAGTGCCACCGTTCGTGCGATCCTGCTATACGGCTGCGAGACCTAGACAGTTCTTGCGGAAGATCTGAAACGACGAGCGTCTTTTGACAAGCGCGGTTTGCGGACGATCGCTTGTGTGTGGTGGCAACACCACGTAAGCAACTCGGAAGTTAGAAGTCGAGTACTAGGAGCGAACAATCCCGGCCTCCAGGGAAATATTCCCGAACACCGTTTACGTTGGGTTGGTCAAGTTTTGTGCATGCCAACCAATCGGCTTCCTCGCCGAGCATTATTTCCAATTCCTGGGCATAAGTGGAGAAAATGTCGGGCTAGATAACCGATGATGTTGAAGAGGAACATCAAGAATGTGCACCGCATAGTTGGCTTCATCAGGATCCGTTCGTCTTCCAGGTTGGGGACCATTAGATGGGAACTCCAAATGACTGGAAATTTGAGAGGCCATGGCTCGTAACCGAAAACAGTGGCGTCAATGCCGTTCTAACATTTGCTTTTCAGCCAAATTTAAATTTTAAACAAACAAAAAACCTCAAAACGGCGTGTGTCAAATACTAAAAACAAAACAGCAAAAGAAAAAAGCCGTTCTTTTCCTTTGTTTTTGGACTGCATTTTTCATAACATTACAGCCATGGTTCTGATGGCACATGTGTCAATTCTCAGACTTGTGAATAAATATATAAATGTAATATACATACCCAATCGCAACGGCTGAATTGCCTAGTATGAATAGAAATTCAGGCACAGTAGTCCTGCTCAAGGTGTCACGAATGATCCTACGTTCAATGTAGCCAAAGTAACAAACTGAGGTGGAGTTTTATTGCGACGGGGTCTTGCTGAATGGTTAACGAGTACAGGGAGAACATTTTACACAATTTAAACTTGGATTATTTAAAACTCCGTATTATCTCCCAAAATCGTGCTGGAAGTCAAATGCTAATATTGTGCTGTTGCAGACAGATTTGCTCGCTTTGGCCACTGTCGTTGGACGCTAGTCATCTTCCGCAAATTAACGGGTGATATGGTACCCCAAATTACCGCTGATAAGTGAATCGAATTGAACTGTGATATACAAGAAATTAGACGTTAAGCTAAAATTAGTGAATAGTTCGGTTAAAGTGTAGACAGTCATGGACTGTGGATATGGGATTGCAACAGCACTCTATCGCAAAAAACCAGACTACATGGAAACAGGGACGCATTAATGAGGTAAGAACAGCGGTCCAATTAATGGATAACGTCTCACCCAACGTGCAAATAACTCTGAAAGACAAGATCCAATGGGACCAGAAACCTATCAGTTCATCAGCCTAGTGGAAGTAATAGGAAAGCGTGAAAATACCGAGAGATAAATTCCAATGAGTTCCCGTGGCACAGACATCAAGATGACGCCAGTTATCCACGTCCCACTGTGCATTGGCTCAGAATTTACTAGTATTGAATGCGTTGTGTAACAAGCTTATCTGTAAAATCCGATTCGGAGATTGCAATTTGTGGTCCCGTTACTTGCGAGCAATAAGAAGGGGGGAATGTGTTATCAAAGTCATGATTGGGGCTAGTATACGAGGGTTTAAAATGACGGCCAAAACTGCACAGTAAAGTGAATTGAAAGCGAAAAGCGTTCCTCCTGCAAAGATGAATTTCAGAGAAGAGGAAAAAGACAGCAACAGGACCTCAGCAAAATGAGCGATGTACCTGTGAAAACCGATGCGCGTACGTCATTGCGATGCTTATTCCAAGATGATTGTAGTGTAGATAACCGATGTGCGCTCATTGATAATTAGTGCACAAAATGGTGAGGGGGCTTGAGTAAGGTTCACAGATTTAGTTGAAAAGATTAGGTACTCTAGATTGCAGGATGGAGGCCCGTTTCGGTATACATAAGGACGGCCAGTTGCTTACACTACATGCGAGCAGGAGTTTATGGCTGATCGGTATGTACCAGAGGTAGAAATTCTACAGGTACTGCTATAGGGGGACAGTAACACAAAGAAAGAGAGAATGGAAGTAATTGGGTTGTGATAGAGAAGTGTATGGTGTATTAATGTGGCAGTCAGTATTTTAATGTGCGTGGCCTAGTTTCGAAGCAAAGCATCGTAAACGAGGACAATGGAGTGTTGCCCTATATCATTATACGCGTCGGGCGATTTGTGCATCCAGAACAGCCCCCCCAAAAGTATAACAGCAATCTACGCCGATGTAACGGGGTTCTCGAGACAGGTTATGCATGTGTTGCACCTCTTATGGATGCACGTCTTTATGCAAGTGACAAACGTACTTGAGGAAAAACAACTACGTTGAAGTCATAGAACTCCAGCACATCACACTAGACATTCTACGTCATTCATGCGACAAAATTATGTCAGTCAAAGTTAATGGGCGAATCATGACCGAGATACTTACACGAACGTTGTGTAAACGAATTCCATTTGAGTGTTTTTCAATGTATTTGCTGAGATCCGAATGCTACAAAGTGCAGGGAGGTAAGGAGAGAGAGAGTTAGCTTGGAGAATGAGAAAATGGCACCAAGGCGAAACGTGAAACAAAATCAGTAGCTAGATAAATGAAACGCAGAATGAGAATTCTAAGACAACCGATATTGAGTGCTGAACAACCATGGATTTTTGAAAAGCAATATATCGACGAGTGGATGGAAAAAAGTGGCAAAGTGAAATCACATCAGCTACTCGGCAGCCAAATCAAATCAAGATGAGTTTTAGCTACGCGGAATGGGTGCGCTTACAGCATTTTATATAATCAACTGCAGATGGACTAGTGACACCAGCTAAAATGCAAACTTTTACAAATGAATAAACATAAGGGAAAAGTGTGCACTGTCGTCACCCGAGTAACGATCGCAGACTACTAAACAGAATCCTCGGTATTTGTAACAGTTAAAGTGAGATTTCACTGAAACATTTCCTCATGGTTTGAACTGGTCTATAAATTCGTGTCCAAAGTATCAAATCGCGGATCTAGGTCTAAATATACAAAATATGGATAGAGTAGAACGGTCGCAGTGAACTTGAACACAGTTTGCCCGAAGAAGTTTACAAAGTATTCTAGGAAACTGGTATAGCCACAGTAGATAGCATGAAGGTAAATGTTCGGCAGAAAACAGCGGATGATTTAAAAACCCCGCCTGGTTAGTAGGTATAACATCTCTAGGGTAAAACCTAAAGACCGATAAGAAATACTACTAAGTAGGCAAAAGTGTGATGCCAGATTTGTACCAGATAGGCAAACTAGCTAAAGACATAGCATTCGTTAAGCACCTGATGTAAAAGAGAACTACATATACAAAATGACTACCGTCGTCAACAACGCACCCAATACGCACACGCATTATGAATCCTGTATGCAACCTGGCTGATGTGTATGTATGTATCCATTCCAGACAAGCCTTGGAATAAAAGTGGCCGAGCGTGACCGTTTGCACATACTTGTAGTCTAGCGGACAGCAAGGGGTGATGCATTTATCGAAACGTTTAACGCTACGTAACCCAAATGTAACTACATAAGTAGCAATTCGTCACATCTAAACTCACTCAGACAGCCGGCACACGCCCGGAAAAGCACTGTACGCGCGTTTCATCCTTTCGGGAATCGTCAGCAGTGCGCATTCCATCGGACCCTTGGTAGGGCTCGAACCCGCAACTCGACTGTTGCCAGTCCGTGGTTGAGACCCCTGAGCTACGGAGGACGGCAAAGAACATCGTGAATAAGTTACTAGATGTGATATCGCGCCTTTTCCTATCCACTGACTTACACGTTACTGCCGTTTAGAAGACAGGGCAACCCCCTCACCAAGCGACGAGCTTACCAAACTTAGGCCGCCAATTCACTTATGGCATTATAAGCAGTTTGGTCTGCGTACTGATTACAGAGGAGTAGTAGGGGAGCTGCGGGTTCGAGCCCTACCAGAGTCCGATGGAATGCGCACTGCTGACGATTCCCGCAAGGAGGAAACGCGCGTACAGTGCTTTTCCGGGCGTGTGATGGCTGTCTGAGTGAGTATAGATGTGATGGATTTCTACCTATACCATTCAACTCTCCTTACTACTCCTCCGTAACTAAATAAGTAAGTTCGTAGATTTAGCGACAGATGAGGTAACATCGGTCAGTATCCTATTAAAGATTGAGCTTCCGCGTTTAATCAAACGTCACTTCTGACTTCTAATCATGTCGTGGTAGTGGCCAAGGGCGAGCAATACACTATATCCGGTTAAAAGTAAATTTAAGTGAAAATTACGTGAAAGGTGACGAATGCGAATCCTGTTAGTGTCGAGAAGATGTCCAGAGTGAGTCGATCAACTAAACAAAGTTGCTTGAAAAGATGACAGCACAATGCACTGACTCAAACTAGATTGGCTACCCGAAGATACATTACCATGAGCAAACCTATGGGCAACACATGCTTAGCTATCGAAGATAACAAAAATTTGTGGCAATTGACTACCTGACTCAACCTAGAAAAGCAAAGGTCCGCACCTAACCCGTTGCATGCTAAGGACAGATAGTACAAAAATGAGTAACAGGAAGAGAATAAAACACGTACAACGGTTGTCATCAGTAACTCAATCACCAGCAATACACTAACAATTTGACCTGTTGCTTTGCTTCCAGACAAAAAGTGGGCCTAGAGAATAAGAATGGAAAACAGATCGAATGTAAACCGTGAATAGCCCAAAGAAACATTCACGGTCAATGCGATATCGACGGGACAGATTGCTTGCGGCTTTCACTTCCCCGTGTCATAATCGGCCCTTCGCCACAGATAACACAGCAGCGTACATATTGTAAGAAGGAGTCCAACCATGAGACAGCAGCAAACACGCCGTTGATGTGTTGCGTTGTTTTCTTTTACTATTTCTGTACCTTGTTTTGCGTTCCATGGTTTCCGATGGCTCAATGTCTATGCATAGACTGTTGCAAAATATATATATCGGCTGCGAACAGTGACATAGAATGTATAGATCGAAGGACAAATTGGATCACAGCCTGGAAGGCGAGACAGACCAACTAAACCGAATGCAGTCGTTAGTGGCTTCATTTACCGCAGCCTTGCATTTACCTACTTCTGACAAAGTGAAGACGTCCCCAATATAGAATGAGCGGGTATACGCAACAGCACGCAAGCCAGCGTAATATATTCCATGCTATTCGCTACTGGAAGAGACTAACCTGATTAACATCGCCTAATATTCGTCCGCGCATATCTTCGTTAGGGACACGCTGGTGCCATCCGACACCGGCAGCGATCCATCGGTGTCGGTGATCAAATTATTGAAGGTACTCAGAATTTTGAACCGAAGGAATTAAGTCTCACTCAAATACAGAAGAATTGTCCTCACTATTACCATAAGCCCGCAGTTTAAAACCGAGAGAGATCCTCATCTGGCATCAAGAGGGACAGACTCGTCGGAGCATATCTAGTCTGCACGCGACTGCTGGTGGTCGAGTGGCAGGGAAGCGTTGATATGCTGGGATGCAATACTGCTTATACGTTCCTTTCCTTCTTGAGTCAGTTGAGCACTCAACTCCTACCGAATGAAAATGTGCCTCACAATATAACTGTACATTTTACAGGCATAACATGGCATGTCAGAATCTAAAATGAATTACCGAAAGCATTTCTAAATACAAGCAGCGTTCACCAAGGTTATCCAGTTTATCCATTACAACGGAGGGAATGGCGCAGCATTTTCCAAGTCAAGTAGTCACCCGCGTGCCCGAAAAGCAATAGACAGATGTTTCGTGCTACACAGGCTCGTCGGTAGAGCGCAGCCTTCGATTCCATCAGAATCTGAAACCATGACCAATAGAGCCTTGCGCCACAAGCCAACAGTTTGTGCTATTGTGCCCTAGAGGACATTGGCAGCCCGTCTTGGCTAACAAGCCAACGATAATCTTCTCCCAACCTGCACACGTCGCTCACGCAAATTGTGGTAAACTTGCGTAATTTTATCGCGTGGTATCTTTTAAGTAACTTTCGGACATTTTGTACTTATAGCGTATTCACCTTTAACCACTTTCTTCTATATGCTCATTTAGCGAGTATTTATGTTGTCATATGCTCCTACTTCATTCGAAATCCGCATTTCGAATGACTGGCTGTGTTTTGACATCCCAGGTGTGGCTGCGCTTGATGTGCAAGGTGCCTACCTATTTATTACCCACTACCTCGTCCACCTGGCTCCAGAAGGCAGTGTCGTTGCTGGAGGGGACGGGGTGCATGGTCGTTGTGGCCGAGTTAGGCTCGAAGAGTGGTTCCATGCACTCAATGTGGAGCGGACAACGGCCCATACACCACCTTGTGTGCGCTTGATTCCTCAAATACAGCGTGCTTGTGTTTGCCTGTGAAGGAGTGTGGGCCGGCTCCGTTGATGAAAAGTGGCTCCCATCCACATGCCTCCCGATTTTATTCCTTCGGGTTTAAGCTGGATATGGGGTGTGTGGATGGAGCTGTGGGTGGTGCAACGCAAGCCGTCCATGGTCCCTCTGTAGGTGCAGGCGTCCTGTGGCTGGCCACAGTGACAGGCAAATCCGAAACCGGATGCCGTCAACCATGTTCCTGCTCGTATTGTGTGTGTGACTGAAGAGGACAATTGAAATGTTGACATATCGCACCTCTGTTTTCTATCTGCCTCCACAAATTGGCCGAAGGGGCACACTGTTTTAACTTCTCAGTTGCCAATCGGAGGAGACGCTTGGTGCGCCTACCGGTAAAGCTTATGGGAAAGCAACAGCGTACCAATGCATAATCAGAGTTGACGCGGGTACTCCAGTATGAGCGGAAATCCAGAATGGAACCACGCCACCGGTAATTAATGGCTATGTGGTCTATTTGGGTCAATTGTTGGCCAGCTACAGGAGGAGGCCAAGTGGCACTAAGGCGCCCAATGTGTCTGAAAGCAGTGACACTAAGAAACAGCTGGTGCTCCGCACACAGCTGTGAAACGTATAGCCACAGTGGGAGAACCGTGGTATGACATTCGCGACCAGGTGAGAGCTTCTGCTGAAGAGACCATCAGGCGCGCAAATTGTAGGCGGCCCGATTAGTTTGATGAAAGCAGTGCGATGATTGACGGTTTGGTGTAAGAGAAGAACAAAGCATAAACTGTACGTGTGGAAGACCCCCGTGACTTGAGGCAAAAATTCAGTTCCGCGAAATTACCACAGCAAATGACTCGAGAGTGCCGTCGCATTAAAAATGCATGGTGGATGGAGAAGAGGAAGCAGATGGAATGGTATGCCGAACACCGCCAACACAAGGAATTCTTTGACTCCTTGAAGGCAGTGTGTGGGAGGCGGCTGGAGCCGCTGAGGACGCTGATCGATAATAGTTCAGGCGCCACCTACAGACAGATTACAGACATACTGCAGATCGGGCAAAAACACTTTGAACGCCTAGTGAACAACCGTTCAGGGATTGACTGACCTACATTGAACGGCCTCAAGAAGCA